AGTTATTGGTTAACTGACGATTGTTTATTTCCTAGGTCACCTTTTATACATTTCTGTGGTCGCTAAATGGACACCTAAGACGATTGTGTTATGATGAACAAAAGACTGCGGTAAAACTTCTGGCGATACTCACCATGTTGGAGTGGAGCAAACGATCGAAAATGTTGTGCTTCTTGTCAGACTGTGTGTTTTTTGTGACCCTTGACACATTCCTTTTCCGAGGCGGACTGAATGGCATTCGAAGTTTGAGGGACTAACAGCCACCTTGTCACCGCTGTATCGCAAATCTGATGAAGTAATTCCTATCAGAAAAGACATTTCACAGGCCCAATTTTGGTGATTTCAGGTCACCTACTTATGCTCAGCAACCCAAACGGCAAAAAATGACCATGGGAGGTTGCTGAAAACAAGGAAACACTAATGAATTCATGTTACTTCATGTCCTAATTAGGCGCTAGAATATTCGCGGTGAGTTCCTGGATCTGACAGGTGTTGATGAAAACGTTTTTGATACTGTGAACGACAGGTTATGACGAACCCTACCTTGTAACATGACGTAGGAAAACAAAGAGATAACCGGCCACAGGCGTACTACCTTGGTCCGATGTTTTCGCAAAAAAATTACATTCGCCCACGGCCGTGCCATTCTGAATATGGTTGACCGGGGCAGGATCTTATAGGATCTACGCAAAGCAACTGGTCTCCTCGTTAAAAAATGACTTATTTCCGGTCCTGTAAAGTATGTATAATTAGTTCTAATGACGATTTGAATATATTGTAAAGTGACATGTTTTTCTCATGATTCTTCGAATTCCTTTTGGCAGTTTGCTATGCTTTGGACACGCTGGTAATTCTTCCGGAGCTTGATTTACCCTACGAAGCCAAACACACCATCCCGCGACCTTTCCAGATCGCGGTTGATATAAAACGGAGTAATTTGAAATCTAAAATAGATTATAGCCGTGAGCGCATTTAAGAACTTCGAAGTGACGAAAGTAGAAGACACGTTCTATTTTTTGTTATTTTCTGCTCCGTCAGCCTTTTCTCGCTTCTTTCGTGTATTTGTGTACACGTTGTCCGAGCCTCAATGTATTCTGGGAAAAAAACATTCCCGAGGCTGCTTCTTGATCAAGAGTGGAGCATCATATGCATCATAGCTGACACGACAAACGGAAATATTAGAGTTCTGACTTGTCGGATCTGGTGTGTTTTATCGGTAAATGCAGCAATATAGCCACACATGACTGACCTTGAGAACGGTTCCATTCAAGTGTTAATTTAGACACCGGTTTTAGGAAGATCACGGAAAGTTTTTTGTCATGTAGATTCACGCGTCACAGACCTCAAAGGGGTGATTAGGTGGGCAATCTATCCCATAATTTCTGATGCTGTCCATCCTGTGGTCGTAAAAAAACAGCCTGCCTCGGGAAAGGGTTGCAGCAGCAAAGAGCCTGAAAAAGATGGAAATTAGATGCTTCAACGTCATAGCAGATACCACAAATACACGAAGTTTTCAAGACATTCAAGGCTGGGTGATAATATGGTAAAGACATGCAAAAGTCGAATCTGGTTAGCCAGCCCTCAAGCTATACGTATCACGTGCATTTTTTCAGGTTGGCTCAACTTCGGAGTCAGAATGGCCAACGTAGGGATCGAACCGAAGAGCTTCGCATAACTAGCGCGACGCTCTAACCCTCTGTGTTAGTCAGCCGATTATACTTGAATGAGCGAAGGTTGTGGAAGGGGTCACTCATTTAAAATCAAGGTAAAAGTAAGTACTGTATGTGGAGTTTAGTAGTCACCATCTCATCGTATGAATTACCCAGGGGTGGCTGATGATATGACATGGTTTACACATATACCCTCCTAACTTGAAAATCAGCAAATTTAAATTTTCACATTCAAATTCACTTGGTAGAAACAAAGCATAGGTTCGTAATGAGGCTACAAGATGGTTACACAAATATGCCCAATTTAACTGGCCCTGGCGCAAACGCGATTTGTTCAGAGGTTGACGTTAACCGGGGTGCATCCAATGGCAACAACACCATGCTGTACGAGGATATCAGAGACGCAATAAAGAAATTTAATCATAAACTTACGAAGCTGTTATTGCTGCAGCAAACGGGCTGGGCAGTGCTGTGAGAAACGCGTTAGATCAAGAGCATTTCGAGTAATAGTGCCGGATTTACCAGGAACTCCCTCCACCTCCGATGATCGTGAGGGGGGAGCAGGTCACTGTTCAGACGTGGCATTAGCTTTATCTACAAGCTGAATATAGTGTCAAGGGAACTTACATCCGACTACGCCAGTGATAGACCCGATATCGACTCCAAGAAGCCCAAGGAGAGCGGCAACTGGCCCAGTAAGTGCAGTCGACTATTCAAGAATCAAACCATTTAGTGGATATGCGCTATATGGAATCAGGAAAACATACCTCTTGCGAAGAGTCACAGCAAGAAAGGTTGCCAGTGTTGCACTGACTAGCAGGGGTGGTGGGGGTAGTTGTGCGGGGGAGCACTGTGGCAGCAGCAAGGAGAGGCAAAGCAAGCATGGCGATGGCTGAAGTACGAGCGAACATGTTGTGAAGTAGGTAAAACTGGTAGGAGATTTGAGTGATTGAAGTTATTGGTTAACTGACGATTGTTCATTTCATAGGTCACCTTTTATACCTTTTTGTTATCGCCGATTGTACGCGTATGACAATTGGGTCACGGTGCACGAAAGAAGGTTGTGAATATTTGGTCGCATCTGCTATGTCAGAGTGGAGCGCACGATCGACAATGTTGCACTTCTTGTCAGACTGTGTGTTTTTTCCGACCCTTGACGCATCCCTTTTTAGGGATCTGCGGGAAAGACAGTGCTCAAAGTTTGCAGGACCAACAGCCACCCTGACACTGCTGTTCCGCAAATTCAATGAAGTGGTTCCCATCTGGAAATAAATTGCATGGACCTAAATCTGGAGATTCCCGATTACCTTTAAAATACACGCTTAGCCCTCAAATATCAAAAACAACTATGGAAAGGCAGTGAAGGGAAAGAAATACCTACGAAAAGAAATCATATCACCCCTTATCCCAATTAGGCTCGAGAAGATTCACGGTGAGTTCCTAAATCCGACAGTTGTTGATGAAAGACGTTCATTGGCACTGGGTACGACAGATTATGACGAGTCTTCAGGTGACGAGTTCTACCTTGAAGCATGACGTAGAGTGGTAAGGAAGTGACTGGGGAAATCTGTGCTACCTTGGTCCGACATCCAACCAACAAGCCAGATGAGTATTTTCCAGCCATCGATATTGGTATTTTGTGACAGATCCGCAATTGGTTGGACTAAGTTCTTTTTTTTAGCCAAGGAAAGCGGACGGCTTTCTACATAGAGTGTCCCATAAAGCTGTAAAGTGCGCATTGTTGGTGACGCGTTTTTCTCATAGCTCTTCGAATTCATGTTTGTTGCGATATTTTGTCATATTTTGGACACGACGGTACTTCATCCGAGGCTTGAGTTAGTTTATGAAGTCAACCATATCATTTTGCAGCCATTCCAGAAGGTGGTCGACAAATAACGGAAGAACTTCAAGCCTAAAATAGATGATCATTATGAGGATGATTAAAGAAGTAACGAACACGGTCTGGACCTCGTTTCTTCTAATGAAAAATGCTTCGCCAGCATTTTTTTCTCTTCTTTTGTGTACACGATGTCCGAGCCTCAAGGTAATCTGGGAAAACAAATTCCCGGGATTGCCTCCTGATTGGATGTGGAGCGTCATAGCTGAAGGTGATAGACACCGCAACAGCAAAACAAAATTCCGATCTGTGAGATCTGACATGCTTTATTGGGATGGGGTACAGAAATGCAGCCACGCCTGGCGAACCTTGGGAACGGTCCCGGTATGGTTTTGGTTTAAACACCGAGGAAGAAATGCAATGTTTCGTTATATAGATTTACGCGCCGTAGATCTCCAGACGGTGATTGGGTGGGCAACCTGTCCCGCGATTTTCTGATGCTGACTATCCTGTTGTAGCCCAGAAACATATTTGTGTTGAGAAAGGGTCGGGAAAGTACACACTCTGACAGAAAGATGGCGATCGGATGCCCCACTGTCATAACAATCACCACGGAGTTTTGAAGACATCCGAGTCCGTCACTCGTCATGGCACAGCCGTCATACACATCGATTCTAAATGTGTTTGCGATTGTGAAAGGTATAAAAGGTGACCTATGAAATGAACAATAGTCAGTTAACCAATAACTTCAATCTCTCTAACCCTCTACCAATTTAACCTACTTTTCAATATGTTCGCTCGCACTTCCGCTATTGCAATGTTTGCTTTGCCTCTTCTTGCTGCCGCCACAACTACACCCACTACCCCTGCTAGTCAGTGCAATACTGGAGATCTGTCTTGCTGTAACTCCTCGCAGGAGGTACGTTTTACCAGTATCGCATACCATACGGCCACTAATTATTTGAATAGTCGAGTGCACTGACTGGACCAGTTATCAGCCTCCTCCAGCTTCTCGGAATTGACCTTGGATCCCTCACTGGCGTAGTCGGAGGTATGTCAATTATACACTACCTGGGATTGATAAGAAGCAACTCACATACATCGACCAGTGACCTGTTCTCCCCTCACTCTCATCGGAGGCGGAGGGAGCTCTTGGTAATCCCCCATTCCATTCCTTCCATCGTTTCAATGCTGATACGCTTCTCTCAGCACTGCACAGCCCGTCTGCTGCAGCGACAACAGCTTCGTAAGTACATATATGGCCCTGCTGAGTACCCCCCTGATTTTTTTTTTTGAATCATACAGCACGGGATTGTTGCCCTCGGTTGCAGCCCGGTGAATGTTGGACTTTGAAGAAGGCAATTGCACTAGTCTACTCGAGAGTTTCTTGTGATCTATAGAACTCGACCGAGTTGTAAATATGTGATGATTACGTCTGTACATGACCTTTCCTGGATATTAGTGCACGAACAATATGAATGACTATCCCTTATAAAATGCTCGCCCTCATCTATATTGAGTTTCCTCAACCAGCCTCTTACATCCTTAGTATCGCCTGGAGGTTGTACTGAGCGCATGGTTTCGTGGTGATGGCGCCGGTAATCCGATGAGACAACATTGGCGTTGAAACGTGGGGATGCAGGTTCAAAAATATTGAAATATTATAGGTTGCAGAACACAGGTTGTCCGTTAGCGACCAAAGCAATGGCAAAGACTCAGAGGCGTCATCCGGTATAGCCACGTAATGGCCCGTACACACGCTTGATTACAATCATACAATCACTTCTCCGTTTTCGATCGTCCTGGCTATCGATGTAAATCGTCACTAGTCACTGGTAGCGTCAACCGTTCGCCAATTCACCCGAGACCAAAGGACTATGTTTCAGCAGACGATAATGCCTGCTTGTCGTAGGGGGTCAGATTGAGGATTAAATGAAAAAGGCTGAAAAGGCTGATATGTCAAAAATGTGGAAACATGCGGTCCCGTTGCGTGTTTGGACCGTGAGGACTTTCGATGTTGAGGAAAAAAGAACAAATTCATGTTGGCCAACGTGGGGATCGAACCCAAGACCTTCGCGTTATTAGCACGACGCTCTAACCAGCTGAGCTAGTCGGCCGGTTATTTCGGCCGGACCAAATTGCTGTACCATGCGTGTTGCAAAAGGGTGCTCATTTCAAAGATGAAAATAGTAGTCAATTAGAAATTCAAAAAAATTCGTTGGATAATAAGTTAAAAAGAAATCGTATAAATATGAAGAGCATATGCATAATAGAAGAGAATAACGCGAAATCTACTCTCCTAGGGGGGGCACCAATATTACAAATTTTTTTATTCCTCATCCTCAAAGCGAAGGATCTGGGCGTCCTCGTCAACTCGCAAGTCTCTATATCCTCGGCGGGACCTGAAGCCCGTCCTGTCTATACTTGAAATGACCCACTCCCATGCAATACCAGCAAGACCAATGATGAACCACGGCACGGAAGCCAAATTCTCCAAAATCCCTGAATCGTTCGCATAAGGAGACCTTCCATCTCCGGGGAGGCGAATCGTTCTGGCGAAGAGTATGTAAGTAAGGTGATGCCAGAATGAATAGGAAGAGAATGTACCCTCTGGCGAGCCCACTTCTTCGGTAATAGTAGTATCCGACCAATGCGGTGAAAGCAAAGGGTACTAGCAGGACGAATAACCAGAAGAAGGCGCTGTGACCACTGAACCCTGGGCATCGGTGTTCGTTACCTCGATCAAGTCGTTTTCCACCCTCGCAGCTGGAATAAGGGATCATGCGATAGGGAGTCCGCTCATACCAGAATTCTTCGTCATTTCTGCACGAGTCGTCGTTGGGTAGAGGGCTTGTTCCTGGAACAAGGACACATTCGTCTGCACTATTCTTGACGTGATTGAATTCACTAAAATGAATGGTTGGCGATTAAGCGTGATGCAACTATATAGCGGAAACCCTTACCATTCAAAGTCGACCTTTGCGCATTCGCATTTTTTAACGACACGGGTTTCAGCTTTGGTTTTTGTCCCGACGATACAATTCGAGTCTCGTACTCGGCGATGGTAAAGGGTCTATAATATCAGTAATCAACATACGACTAAAACAGCGAATGGATACCGCTTACTTGGCGACCAAATAAGCAAAGTTCTTCCCGTTCCTCACTGGGACTCCACAATTCGAAATCATCATGACCGGGATCTTC